GCTATCGTGCAACTAAAGTCTCGCATGAAATGCAAAAATTCAAGTTATTCTGTAAGAATTATGAATTACCCCTCTTTTATTCCTTTTATTTGTTTTCTCTCTCTTACTACATAGGTACTATAATTTTTTGTACATCATATGTTCCATGAATACTTTTTATATTGTAAAGGAGTTGAATGAAAGAGCAGGATTCGGCGTGTTGCACATGCTTGTCTCCAGAATTCCGCTCCGGGATTTTACCAAACTCATTATATTTTCCTTTGTGTACTTTTTTTGCCATGGTAAATGAAATACATTATTATTATTAACATGAAATCACACACGAAAGTAATTTTCCGCTAAATTTGAGCGGTAATTAAAGTGCCACCAGTACCGGCGGAAATACCGGGTGTTAACCATTTCAGACAACTTTGGAATTTCGAATGGAACACTCAGTATACGAGTATTTATACTTTCTGGATTCAGCAGATCATTCTACATTTCACACACATCCTACTCTGATGGGAAAATATTATAAGATAATTTTTTTATTTAAAAAAATTTATTATAAATCAATATCCACGAGTGGTTGGATATTTTCGAGTGAATATTATTTTCTTATATGCATTTCAAAAGATTCCTTTTCTTTTTGTGCATAATATAGTGAAACTAATTTAATAGAAGTTATTTTTTGTGGAGGAAATTATAAATTTTCAATCCATCATCTGAAAAAACTGAAAATTGTAATACAGCAAGAGCAAAAGTGTTTTCTACAAAGAAAAATATTTTGTTTTAACGGTAACTTGTCGCATTCAAAGATTTTATCGATCAAAAAAAACTAAAGAGAAGAATCTGTACAGATACGTATCTTAATATTTTGGAGGACAAAATCTGCCTTCGACTTGAGAAACAACTATTTTCCTGGCAGAAACTGCAATGGAATTTAATATATACTAAACAGATGTGTTTGCAATTTTTCTCACAGGAAAAATTCTTGTGAATACTTCTTATTGTCTAACAGCAGGCTACGATCAGTTTCTTCTGAAATCAAATGATTTCAGATTGTAATTTCATATAAAACTAGCAACTAGCCAACCTGAGCCCAACCTGAGTACTATCGATGCCGATGCCGAATACACCTAGTCGACAACGGAAGCTTTAAGGTTGTTCCATAATTCTCATGAAGCTTTCTTTGGGTTCAGTAACAGTCTTTATATTATCAAGAAGAAAGGGACTAGTGAAAAACTGTCGTTATACTAAAAATTTTCTTATTTTCATATTCTCAGAGGTCTGATCATATAGATTTCAATTTAACGTAATATTGAAATATTTTTTGTATAATTTTTGGTATAACTAACGAATCTCCCGAGAAATACCACAAGTGAAGTTGAATTTGTGAGATAATATAATATAATGTAGAAATGGAACCTCTGGCGTATTAAAACTCCAAAACAAGTATATTTCTCAATCACCAGAACTGCAATAAGCTTCTCAACGCGCGTTTCACCAACCAAGTTGTCAAATTCAGTTTTCTTAATTTTCTGACCACTGTGCATGTTTTGAAGTGTTTCGTTCAAAACATTGAGAAGAATCTTTTTTGAGTTTTTATTATTATTGACTATTGAAACATATAATTTTGAATTGCCCTCATAAGGAAAAGGCTCTTCACCTGAGTTATTCAGATTTGAGATGGTTGGAAAGATAACGTATTTGACATCATTTTTGGTATTTCTGATGTAAATAATACATTTTTCAAAAGGAATTTCCTATCAGAAAATATAACAATATATGACATTTCATTTTAAAAAAACAACATATCATGACATTTTTGATAACTTCATTTTTTTCTTCAATTTCTGATAAAACTCCTGTGTGACACACACACTATATACATTTTCATTTTTGACTAGAACTGTTCACACTTAGTAGATGCATTTTCATTTGTGACTAGAACTGTTATTTTTCTCATTCACTGAATGGAGTACTGTATATTTTTTTAAAAAGGTACTTTCATCTACTGCCACTTCAAATTCAAACAGTACAAAGAGTAGATCACTGATTGAAAATTATTTCCTAATGTTTCTATATGGTCCGATCTGGTAAATTTCTGCATGAAAACAACAGATTTTCCGGCTACTACCACGATGGACATTGAGTTATACCTGACAGAAATGTATTCAAGTTACCTCACAGAGAATAGTCGTGCAGATGCAGCTCCATCTCATGAACCCTAAAAGCGGAGAAGAAACATCCCAAAGTGGTATTAGCCAGGGTAGTAGTTGTTTTTCGGCAGGCATTTACCAGATCCTACTATGTAGGAACGTTGAAAGATACTTATTTTAATTTCTATGAGAAATTCTGAAATAATATTTTCCTGATAAAGAAAATCGGAGGTAAAATTTAACTTTATTCTCAGAGTTACTTCCGAGATGTAGAGTGAAGAGATTTTTTTATTCAATAAATTTGAGAAATTGTACGGGTTTGTCCCATTTCAATTTTATACAAACTGTTGATTTTTCAAATGACTATGTAAAATATAAGCCCTCCTAGCTTTATACGGACAAAGTGGACAGGAAAACTCTGGGTCTATTCCACATTCCTGGCGAATATGACGACTCAAGGTATTTTTATGATGATAAATTCTAGAACATTTAGGGCACATAAAAATAGAAGTTGAGAATACATTTGGATGCCTTCTATGATTTGATCCTGAAAAATAAAATATTCCACATCATTTGAAATTATTCATGTCGTTAAAAAAATATATCTACCATAACAATGATAAAAACTTCACACCTACATTCTGTCATGCCATCTGGAATGAAAATTGTTAAAAATATATTTTTGAGTGAGGAATGAATATGCAGATGAGACTCAAAAACTGTTGTAAGATATTCAATTGATATCAATTTAGTATATATTGCAACTATGATTCTAGATCGACAACTTATTTTATATAATTATTTCCTTCAAACCGTCAAAATTTTGGAAAAATTGAAGGCTACACCACCAAAACAAAGTTTTACAGAATACGAAAAGAATACGCCACATATTGGTGATGCATTTAGTGGCGTCAAGTAAGTCAGCAATTGTTGACAAATACGAGGTTAGTTAGTTACGTACTTTCGTTAAAAAATGGAAATATGTTTAGGCATTATCAATAATAAAAACTGATAAAGGCCACTGAAATTTGTTGTAACACAGAATGTTCTTCATTTTTTCTTCTTCATTTTCATCACGTTCTTTGTATTCCGAATTACATTTTTTTTTCTAGAAAATTTCAAAATAAGGTGAAACAATTCTAATGAATAACATATTTGTAGTTGATAACATGTATATGTACGAGTTAATACAATGGGATTTTTACAAACGTCTTTGCACTTCCAAAAAATCATGAAGAAGTCCTGAATACCAGAACTGCAATACTTGGTTTTTCTGTTCAGTAATATCCATTCAAAGGCTTGCTTGGGAGCCATTGCTCATTGAGCAAAGATAATTTTCTGAATCATATAACTCTTTTATTCAATGATGAATTTTTGTCTCTTTCGATGAAAAAATTCACAAAAGACTTATGAAACTCCAATGTAGGCTAAAATAAGTCCTATATGGCAATTCACGTCATGTATAACTTACTGGGACCTCGTCTTAAATGATTTACCTTTCACTACCTACCCACCTATCTATCTTACTATCAAAAGTCCATCATTGTTAACTTGGCAAAACGAAGAAAACATCGGTTACTCTGAATTTTTGATTTTTCATTTTATAAGGAAAACTTAAATTTGTTCAATTTGTATTCATATTCATACTTGTTTAAGGAAGATCTTTTTAGTAGGTACGGCTACTCTGATTCATTATTGAAGGAATGATGTTTTGAATTGAAATAATAATGTTTATTGAATAATAACAATGAAAGTAGTAATACAGTTTAAAAAAATCAATTTTTTCGTTAACCAGCTTTCGCATCCCTACGAACGACAACTCTAAGAAGTCAAAACTTGTGCGAGCTAAGGATTAACGAGGTCTTACCTTTTAACGTGTGATTCCTAACACAGTAGGCATGATTTCAAATTCATCGCATTCTGTACATTTACCATACATTTCAGATCTCACACTTGAACGTATACGGATATTTGATATTTGTTTAAATATAAAGAAATGAACCTTAAACGTTCAAGCCAGTCTCGGATATACCTACACAGTAGGTTGAATGGACTGACGCTTATCAAAAAACAACTACTCCCCTGGCTCTGTGAAGATTACTGCACTGACGCTTCTCGGATATAATCCAACGCACTTCGTGGCATTAGACAGGGTAGTAATTGTTTTCTGATAGGCGTCAGTCCATTCAACCTACTATATAGGTATATCTGAAACTGGCTAGAACATTCAAAGTTCATTTAATGAAAATTGAAAAATAAAAGATTCCAAGCTAAGTTAGTAATATTCGAAACGTCGTGAAGTAACTTGGCTTGGAATCTTTCAATTTTCATTTCTTGTTAATAACTTTTACTTTTCATCTCGTGTTGATAGTTCAATTTTATGTTATTTTTTATATTGTTGATTGTATTTAATTTCTTTCTCCATTCTCCTTTCGAATATTTGAATACGACAAATTAACGGCAGCCTTTGTTTTATTTCTTGGAAACATAACCCGTGTATCAACATTTATTTTTTCATTAGGTTCCATTTCATATTCTTTCATTGTTGTCCAAAACATCTCTAACGTAGATTACTGTATTCTGATCATTAAATATTCTTGTAGTTGTTCTGAGGATGATACTTTCATTATTGAAATATGGGAAATATGTCACTGAAGTACAGTTTTCTAGCTAGGTGCTTCTTGTGTGAGTCTTAATATATAATGAGACTACTATCGATCTTTCTCAAAATACTAATTTTGACATACATTTTAATTTATTTAATTTTTGATGTTTTCTACCCAATATTTATTATTTGATCCTACACTCAGGTATACTATGACTACATTTTTTTTGTAGAAGAGATGAAATGACACAATATTTGGCATTAAAGAGATAATTTATTGAAATATCTATGTCAGAGTATAAACCAATAATCATTTATTAATTATTTTTCAATTTAGTCCAAATAAATATCGCTTCGTGCAAGAGCTGTTTAATTTTTACCAGAGCTCTCCTTTTGAAGCATTTTTTTGTCAAGTTGTCTTCTATTCTGGAACCAGGTCTTGATAACTTTATAAGACAGGCCCGAGTCTACCTCCAATTTTCTCTTAATTTCCGCATGTGGGCATGGGTTCTTTCTATACACTTGCATCAACATTTCAGATTGTTCTCTGGTGATACATGTTCTACTGCGGGTAGGAATATGTTCCGGGCCCACCGGATTATTAATTGGGTTCAACCCTGGTCCGTTTGGATTTGGCGGGACCAATGTTGATCCAATCATTATGAGTGGGGGTTGCAGAATACTGAAAACTAAAATATATGTCAAAAATATTCAACCCTTGAATATTCTGAACTCGGATACAAGAAAAAAATAGGATAGAAAATTATTTAATTTCTGTCCTTAACGAATACAGAAAGTTCATTAGCTTTGGTGTCTATTTCTATAGCTGAGATTATTAAAAATATAATTATGTCATATTAGGAGTTATTTACTAAAATTGGTTTTTCGAAAATAATATTCCGTTTGCATAAAAAAAATACAAAATTACTTTGACAGCTGTGAATATTTATGAGTTTTTACGAATGAGAATGGTGCATGTTATTAGTCACTTGCTGCTGGGACTTTGCAGTAGCATACGAAACGTTTGATGCTTCAGGTTCCTTCCGATCACGGCTTATCAGCCCGGATTTTAGTCTCATCAGTCATATATATGTTGTGGAATGTTGAAACAAATATTTCAATCATGACCAAACTGTGTATGCAATTTGCATTTCTGAATGCTGGGTCTATTGATTCCACTCGTTTCGAAATCATTTCTAACATCATCGCATTAGGTTAGTTAAAAACTATGTTGGTCACAGACGTTTTATCATAACCATCATATGAAATCAACAAATCCAATATTAATGGAAATATCTTACAGTGGTGCTTGGCTGAACCTTAAAAATATTGTTATACACAGCTGTCCTAAGGAGATGACTGACGATATGACTGAGTATAAGACTCAGTCCTCTCCTTGAAATGCTAACTTGAGATGCGAATCGCGAGTTGTAAGGGAGCAATTTTGTTCTGTTGAGAGAATAGCGTTCCTAATAGATTCATTTCACGACAGTGGATGCAATAGATCAATAAAAGACTGAATTCATTGAAATATTTCAGGATCCCTCTCAATCATTGATTATTTGTGAATTGAACTACTGTCAGTTCCATAAAGACGCATACTTATGAATGCATATAATTATTCCATATTCAAATATCCACTTTCAAGAATAGATCGGTTACCTTAATACTTCAATGTTTTTCTTCAAAGACAACTGGTCACCTAACTTCTAATGCGGATACTTTTGAATAAAAAACGAACATTCAATTGGTCTTGGGTAGCACTACGCCATGGACCGAATTTAAATGTATTTTCAAGACGTGATGATATTTGAACTTTGCCGAACAAATCGGACAAATAATGGAAGGTTTCGTTCCGCACTCAATTTTAATATGTCTCTGAAGGTTTCCCTTCCTCGTGTATGTTCTGGAACAGTTATGGCATTTGAAGATACCTGAAATACATAAAACTTATTGAAGCATAACAAAAATAATCGCAGGATGTACAAAAGTGAAAAAAAAATATCTAGAATTCACCTGTGATGTCACGTACTGATTCATTGTATTGCAAAATATTACCTGGCCTATTAGTTTCGAGGATTTTATGTTTTTACTCGCATATTATACAATGCAATAGAAATAAAAGAAGTCTGAAGACTGAATCAGAAAGATATGAAAATACATACTTCGAAATGGTATCTCAAAACGTTCATCTATCTCTACGTACCTACCCAGTAGGTTCTGGTATGCAGGAAATATCTGATCCAAACTGCAGTGAAACGTGGACTCAACTGACTTCAACGCAACTCGACGGCAGGTATGAAACCGTCGTCTACCTAATAACAGCTCCATCTCGTGAACAAAGCCCCAAGCGCGAAATAAACATCTCTTCTACCAATAAAGAAACCCCAACCAAATGGGTCTTCAGACATCATTTGAAAGTTGTATTATGAAAAATGAGAAACAAAACTTTCTATGTTTTTCTACCACTTTTATTTGTAACTAATGTTACTACAGTTTCTTCCTATAAGGACATTCTCAAACAATTAAAGTAAACTGAAAATAAATCATAATGTGAGCCCTAATATATCTACTCAAGGTAATAATAGAGGTCCTTAGCTCATTTGAATACCTGAAACTAGTTTACCTGTGACAATGTGGATACGCTTATTTCAAAACTCGTGAGTGAACTAGATCGATCAAGCAGATCACATCCGCAATGCCTATGCTTATGAATTTTCCAGGAGTTCCCAGAAGATTCTAACCCTTGCTTGCAAAGTGCAAAATTTCCGTATCGTTTTGATTCGGGAACTTGTGGTTGCATTTCAAAGAATAGTTTGAAAACGTCGAATCATTTTTACCTGGTCTGAAGGACCTGTCATGTTCAGCTTACCGTTTTTGGAAATTTCGACCACACTGTCCCACATAAACACTATTACATTCCGGACACTTGAGCTTATAAACTCCAGCTTAAGTGTCCGGAGTTGTCACAGACAAACAAATGTCAAGTACCATTTTATTACCTATAGTAGATATATAAGGGCTAACATTATGATTTATTTTCAGTTTATTGTAATTGTTTTAAAATGTCGTCATAGAACGAAACTGCAGTAATATTACTTACGAATGAAAGTGGTAAAAAACATAGAAAGTTTTATTTCTCATTCTTCATAATGATCTACTATCACGTATTAACATCCATCAATTTATTGAAAGTTGTATTACTATATTACTATATGTCACTATACAGCCCTTTTTCGCTGATACCACTATTGCTATCTCGGAAACGGTAGGTCGTACAAGGACAGTTGAATAGAACAAAAGTTACCTTTTTAGAGATTGTTTTATACATTTTCGTAGTCATTATAATTACAAATTCGTTGATATATCACAACATCTATATTTCCCGACGTTTCTTCCCCAAACAACATCATCAGTATCATTTTTTATTAAGAGCTCGAATTTTCGAATGTTACTGAAATCCAGAGTTCTCCTATCGATAATGTCGTTCATTGAAATTATAAATATTTGTATTCACTGAAATCCAACTAAATTTTTGTCAGGGTCGTCTTGAAAAAGAGAGACCAATTATCTTTTTATCAATACCAAGTCATAATTTCCAAAAGTCTTTTGAAAATTTGAAGCTACCCAAAAATTTCTGTTCAGAAAATGGAGATATCAACAAGAATTACCTGATAAAAATACTGAATTAAAAAAGTCATAGATGATTTTCACGAGAAACATGATAGGCGATGATTTATTTTTTAGAAGCAAGCCATGAAATACATGACTATGGATGTCAAGTTAATTGTCACACACAACGTTGAGCGATTTTAAGGGAGCAACATGAATTTTTTCAATGACGAAAAAGTGTATATGCTTTTTGTATATTCGTTCGTTCGTTTGAGGAATGCTACCAAATCTCTGGCAATGTATCAGGAATTGTATTCTGAACGACGACAACCTAATCATAGATATTTTCAATGAATCGAAAATACGGACTTATGGATCTTTTGAAAAACCCTCCTAAAGAAAATGTACGGTTACTGAATGTAGTGGCGATAATGGAATCAGCGTTTTAGGTGAGTTCAAAGAAGATTCACAATAATGATAAAGTGACATTAATTTGATTTAGGATTTATGGAAATTAAAAAAAATGAGGACAAGGAAGTATCTCTGAGGGAGATTGCTCATAATTCGGCTATATCCAGTACGTCTGTACGGAAAATTTTGAAGAAAAATGAATTCAATCCTTATCGAGTCAGGAAAGTTCATCATTTGCGTTTAACGGACTTCAACAGGATAAACGTTTTTTGTAGACGGCTCATTAGAATGGTGATGTGATAAAAGTACATTTACCAATAACGGATGTTTCAACAGGAGTATATATTATCATTGGCGACAAGAAAATGAATATTTACGTACCAATTTTCAAGAGAGATACGGTGTCAACCTATGGCTTGGTGTTCTTGATAATGAAATTATTGGCCCTCACTTTTTTTAAACATCTCTGACCGGAGAATTATGCTTGGATTTCTTATCAGGGACTCTTATTGAGTTATTAGAAGATGTGCCACTTAGCCTCATAAGAACATATGAGTATTTCCAACACGACGGAGCTCCACCACATCAACGGAGAATCTGCAGAGATTTCCTCAATACAACTATGCCAAGAAGGTGGATAAGAAATAATAGTCCTATTGAATGGCCACCACGTTCACCGGACCTTTCTCTTCTAGATTTTTCGTTGTGGAGCTTCATAAAAGATCAAGTATAAAGATATAAATATAAGTATAAAAGATAT